TCTAGGTTCTCCAGCACAATTCTATGGTCAACTTCTGGCAGAGTTGCTTTGGAAGACCTAGAGATTCCCAGAGAGAAGATGTTAATGATCAAATCCACAAAAGTCAAAGCTGCAAATGTGAAGGGCCAATTATATAGTTCCTTGAAAAGTGGCAGGAAGTTCACTTCTGGGTTCTTCCAAAATTGGTATTTTATTGCCCCATGTGAAACAGTACAGGGAGGCCTTGAAAACTATTCAAAATGAACTTGTTGAACCTGGAGGCTTGGAGGAACAAAAATTCAACCTCTTTTGGAGGCAGAAAAAAGATTGGTTTCAGGATTCTGCCAACTCGGTGTACCTACTGGGTGATGAATCAATGAAAGGAAATCATTCTCTCTAATGGTTCCCGACCCATCAGAAATCCAAGGGGAAATCCATCGGGGAAAGAAAGAATGATGAGTACCTCGGTGACACAACGGTTGCCCAACGGATGCTAGGCGGGGAGTGCTCCATTGATGCTGAATTGACACATTGGGTGTGAGGTTGACCAAGGAGATCCTCTTTGCTCAATCTCCTTGGGGAGGCCTTGGGCAACTGATTGTCTTTACAACCCAAGGCTTATCCAAGGTTGTGTATGCTACAGATGTGTATCTGTGCCTCTCTGAGAAGCTGTTGGTTGCTTGGTTGCTCCTTTGAGCCGTGCCTTGTATAGAAGTCTGGGAAGATGGCAGCCACCTCCAAACACCTCCAAGTTTGAAAATGAAAAAAGACAACAACACCTCAGGTTGGGAAAGATCCCCAGTCCAAAAAGATTGAATATGTGATACTACATTATCAGTAGACAGTAGCTTTACACTGTCCAAGGGTAGACAGAGTGAATCCTATTGCAGCACAGAAATATCCATTCCTGCACTGAAAATGCTGCTTTCTGCAAAGAAAATGCTATAATTGTGGATTTATTCTGAGTAAAATTTGCACGTTGTTGATATTGAAAGGGATCATGCTATTTTATCATGTTGTTTTATAGCTGGATTGTTGTATTTTTATGATTGTTACCCACCTCAATCCTTCGGGGAGAGGAGGGCTATAAATTAATATATATATATATATATATATATATATATATATATATATATTTATTATTATTTATTATTTGCACAGAAAATAACATTTGCTGCCCAGAAAACTGCATTTTCTGCACAGGAATTAATATTTCTGCATTGCAACATTATTTTCCATGCAGAAAATGTTACATGAACAGAAAATGCTTTTTTTTCTTGGCAAAACAACTGCATGTGAATTTTGCGCAGAATAAATCCCGTATTGCGAATAGCCTTTGAAAACTGTGCCGTTTTTTTACATTTTTTTCTTGCAGCGGGAGGAAAGTTGTTGAAATTACTCATTGCTACCTTCAAGAAGAAACTTAGTGAAAGATTACCTTCCTAGGAGAGTGTCATGTTTGTCGTATTGGGAGAAGTGCCTTTAAAAACAGAGTCAATGGCTTTATGACATCTACAGAGTATTTTACAGCTCTCTTGTTATTTATCTACAAGACAAATGTGTGGCCAGCAGAGAAAGAGGAAAGGAGAAAACAAGAGCAGGCAAGCACACTATTATTCCTATTTTATGAATGAGGCAATAGTGCTTGAAAGCAATTCATCTCAGGTGACTTCTTTGCAAAAGTGCAACATGAACACAGAACCTTCCAAATTCCAGCGGCAGCTGGTGGCTTCCATCTGTTCTGGGTCTTCTTGTTGTTAATTGCTTTCAAGTTGACTCCAACTCATGGTGACCCCATTGAATGAGATGTCTCCAAACCCTTTGTCTTCCAGTGCTCTGCTCAGGTCCTGAGGCTCAGGGCCATGGCCTCCTTGATAGTGTCTAACCATCTGGTATGCGGTCTTCCTCTCTTTCTACAGTCATTCACCTTTCCTAGATTTATTGTTTTAATCGGGGCAGCCAAATCAGGAGAATATTTCAGTCTTCCTTTTGGTTGTTAACCATCTCCAAGTCAACCTCGATTCATGGCGACCCTGTAGACGAGACATCTCCATTCCTCCCTATCCTCAGCTTCTCTGCTCAGGTTTTGTTAGCTCAAGGCCATAATCTATCCATCTTGATGGAGTCTATCCATCTTGTATAGCAGGGGTAGGCAACCTTTCCCCTTTAAGGGCCAAGGGACTTCAGCTCCCAGAAGCCTCAGCCATGTTGGCCAATAGTCCCATGTTGGCCAATAGCTCCTGGGATTCTGGGAGCTGAAGTCCTTCAGCCCTTAAAGGGGAAAGGTTGCCTACCCCTGGTGTATAGGGTCTTTCTCTCTTCCTACTTTTCCTCTCTCTTTCCTAACATTTTGTTTTTATCACTGATTCCTTGTTATCGTTTTATCGTTTTATAGTATTGCTGTATTTTAACTTTTTCTTAGTTTAATTCTGTTTTAAGGGGATGGGAGGGTTGGATTGTGGGATGAGGGGAAGTTTTAACTTTGTCTGTTTTAAATGTTGTAACCTGCCCCGATTGCTGTGCAGAGGGGTGGGCTATAAATAAAAAATTATTGTATTATTATTATTATTATTATTATTATTATTGTCTTTTCCAATGATGCATGCCTTCTCATGATGTACAACAGCCTCAGTTTGATCAACTTGGCTTCCAGGGAGAGATCTGGTTTAATCTGTTCAAGGACCCATTTGTTTGTCTTCTTGGTTGTCCATGGGATCCTCAGCACTCTTCTCCATCCCCACATTATCTCAAATGAATCAATTCATCAATTCGTCTGCTTTCTTCACCGCCAGCTCTCTAGTGTTCAGTTGTATATCTTTGCACTTTAGAATGTTGTCTAGTTCTTTCATTCTTTGTCTAGCCCTTCCCATTCTTAGTCTTCTTCTTTCTCGACTGAAGCCTCTGTTCTGATCAATGAATGATCAAAAGGTACAGGAAATCTTTAACTATTTCGATTTCCTCATTACCTAGGCTGAATTTATGCAGATCCTCTGTGGTCATTATTTATATTTATTTTAGTGGGCAGCTGTAAGCCTCCCTTTGCACTTTCTTCTGTGGGGTCTAGTCCACATTTTAAAGGGGGATTGCCAAGGTGCTGAATTTAATCTCTAAAACAGATTCAGCATTTTAGATTGCGCTGACATAGAGTAAAAACCAAGGTGAATTCACTGTTCCACTGAAACGGAAGTCACCAGACACTCTTGCTCACTTCATTCAATACCCATCCATTCCCCAAAACTTCTGATGTCACTATTTTCCTCTCTTTGAGTAACAGGTCAATCCAAAACCCTTAGGGCTGTGCTATGGAGATAAAATCGATGTGCCAAGGAAACACTGATCAATTGTCAGCAGCAAATCTGGGTGAGTCAGATTCTTGTTTTGTTACCTAGGATAGAAATTGGGTAAGTTACCACTTATGCAGCATCTCTCATCCCATATCATTCGGGAGCTGGGCTCCTTCGTCTGAAAGATAGAATTGCTTTAAAAACACGCATAAAACTTAACCCTTTTTATTGATCTTGAAGCATTTGTGAAGAGCAGTCCACTCCATCAGGCGCAGACCATGAACATTCATGTCAAATAAAATAGGTTGGTCTTTAAGATGACACAAGGTTCTTTGTTTATCATTGCGTGTTGCGTATGTTGCAAGCTGTCTACATATGCATTTATGTATGTGTCTCGTGATTTCAGGCACGACTATCCAAAAGCACCCCCTCATCCTTGATCTTAAATATGGGGTGGTGGTGATATAGATCTAAATGCATACTCATTTAATGGCGCCATGTAATTTGAGTACAACGGAGTTACTATCTTTCCATGGGTGTGGATGCAAAGATAGTACTTTTGATACACTGCACCTCCTGCTGGCTGTTTCTCCCAATGTTGCATCTACATTGTAGAAATAATATAGATTGACATCACTTTAACTGCCAGGGTTCCTGCTCAGGGAATCCTGGGATTTGTAGTTTGGTAAGGCATCAGAGCTCCTTGGCAGAGAAAGCTAAAGTCCCTGTAAAACTTCAGATCCCAGGATTCCATAGGATGGAGCCAAAGCACTTAAAAGTGGTGTCAAACTGCATTATTTCTAGAGTGGAGATGTCCCTAGCAATCTGGAATCCTCTGAAAAAAAAGCTGAGAGTTTTTCTCCCGATTCTGAATGTGGACATTCGTATTTTCCTTTTCTTTTTCCTTTCCCTGCTCTCTGAGATACTGTCAGCCTTCCATATCCACGGAGTCTTTATCCATGGATTCAAGCATCCAAGGTTTGAAAATATTCCAAAAGGCAAACCGTGATTTTGCCATTTTATGTAAGGGACACCATTTTACTATGCCATTGTATTTAATGGGACTTGAGCATCCACAGATTTCGTGATCCACATGGAGTCCTGGAACCAAACCCCAGCGGATACCAAGTGTCCACTGCATATAATTTTAAAAGTCTTTCAGATTTGGAATTTCTGCAGAAATGAATAAGTGCAAACCAAGTAATCCCAGAATTTGCACTTTGGATATTCCTCTGTTAAGTTTTCATAAAAAGGCATACAAGAATCTGTTAGCTTCCTTGAGACTAACTGCAAAGAATGAATGTTGTACTATAAGCATGCATGCAGAAAAGCTTATGCTAGGAATATTTTCTTCTCATCTAGTCTCAAAACTGCTACGAACTAGATTCCCTTTGGTCTTTTTATGCAAAAACAGGTTAATGCAGCTATCTCTTGGAGTACTACGTTTCCAGTGAGTGTTGCAGGTCTGAGGGTTTATGACAAGGGATAAGCAAATGAATCAAAGTATGCAAACATCTGTAAGGGGCAAAAGTATATTTTGGAGTGCTTGGCAATACTGGTGTCTATCTTATGTACAACTTGTACCGCGAATCCTTGGTATCCCTGAGATTTGGTTCCTGGATCGCCCGTGGATACCAAAATCCATGGATGCTCAAGTCATACACAATGCCATAGTGAAATGGCATCCCTTATATAAAATGGCAACATGAAGGTTTGCTTTTTTTGGAATTTATTCATTTTAAAAATATCTTCAGACCATGGATGAACTCCATGAACATGGAGGACTGACTGCATTTGTAAATATAGGACAATATTAGGTAATAAGCCAGCATGGTGTAGTGGTTACAGCCCTGGACTATGACTCTGGAGACCAGAGTTCAAATCTTTGCTCAGCCATGGAAATCTCCTGAGTGACCTTGGGCAAGTCACATTCTCTCAACCTCAGAGGAAGGCAAAAGCAAACCCTTTCTGAACAAATCTTGCCAAGAAAACCCTGTGATAGGTTTGTCTCAGGAGAAATGACTTGAAAGCACTCAGCGACAACATTAGACCAGTCAGCAAGGCAAAATCCAAATAAATCCCAGGGCTGCCTGGCATTTGAGGAATTGGGTAAGGGGGCTGCAACCGTACGTATGTTTTTATTTTCTCTTTTTCAGGATCTGAAGGAACCTCTCTAGGCTGCTGCTTTTTAACCCCAGACAAACCCACTGGTGACAGGTGGAGGCAAAAGAGGCTGGAAGAAGCCAATTAAAAAGGAAACGATATTTAAATAGAGGATAAGCAAAGGCTTTATTCGAGTCGGGAAAGCCAGGCTGGTTTGGCTCACTGTGGCATGAAGATTAACTTCAAAGCCTTCCTTGATCAGCAGAGGAACTGCAAAGGCTGCTAATACATTAGTAAAGTGTTCATTCAGTCTCCAGAAGTGCTTTAAATTAATTCATTTTTTTAAAACAATATATATATATATTACCATTTGAAAAATAGCCACAAAGGGGCAAAGAGATCAGTGCTATCTAAGCTTGGGCCATGATGAAAGGGGATGCCAGAGCGCTTATCTCGACAACCGTGCTCCAAAACAGTCAAATATTGCTCTCCACCCAAAAGTCTCTGGATCAGAGTTGGACACCACATGCTCAACGGCTCAGAGGCTTCCCTTGTTAAGTCAAACACTGCACTATTTATCAGATACACTGCTTGCATGATGCCTTTCCCCCTTCCTTATTCTTTCAGACTCCCTTGAACCAGACCAGACTGGACAGTGAGCGCTTTGGATTCATGCGCCAACATCCACAAAGGAGAGATGATGGAAGTATAGTGTCCAGGTGCCACTCTAGTCTGCTTTGGTCAGGCTTCACCTGGAATAAAAAATAAATAAATGCATGCACACTCTCTCAGCCCCAGAAAAGCCATGGCAAATCCTCTGTGGAGATTTTGCCAAGAAAACCCCAAGGACAAGTAATAACAACAATGATCAATATCATCATGGCAGGCGGTGGTGGGGGGCAGCGGGGGGCAGCGGCGGCGGCGGCGGCGGTAGGACCAGCCTGGGGCCGGCCCAAAGGCCTTGGGGGCCGCATCTGGCCCCAAAGATCTTAGGTTGCCTATCCCTGCTCTAAGTCCATATATTTATATATTTATAGTGTATGTTTTATAGTATTTTAAGGTGCAGTGGGATTGTGGGATATGGAATGTATATTTTAATGTTGTAAGCTGCCC